CGACTCGCGTATCATTCCTAGAACCAGCCCTTGGTAGCACCTCCTTTTCATTATCCTTTGCAAGGGGAAAATCATAACTATTGCAAATATAGATATGCGTAGCGTTTTCTGCATTCCAAATATCGATTTATTATCTCTATTTTTTATCAATTGCCAAACTTTTACGATTATCACTTTCCCCATTCCATTCGTGAAAATTACAGAGTTGTACTGCAGAGGTTCTTGTTTGTTTAACTTTTACAGCAGCAAATAATACTTCATGTTGCACACATAAAAAGCTGTACATCTTAGATAAATGATTTGTAACATGCTGAAATTAGCAGCTGGATTAAGTCCTGTGTCTTTTTTCACTTTGCATTGTACTATATAATAGGCAGGTATGATAAGACGCTGCGTACACTATATATCACTTCTCCAACTAAACGAAAAACTTTGCATGTCGTGATTATGAAGCGTCACTTAGAGATGAATTATCCCACATAATACAAGAAGCTACAGCTATAAGAATTAGATGTGGTCAACACCAATTACACAGAAAAATACAAGCACAGACATTGCTTTATATTGTTTTAAAAGCGTTCTAAAGATTTTGTAATATATATATATATATATATATATATATATATATATATATATATATATATATATATATATATATATATATATATATATATATATATATATATATATATATATATATACCAGTTTGTAAAACTAGTAAGTAGTAATATATAGCATTTATTTGTTCTCTTGATAAGCACAGGATGAAAAATGGGACTTCATTTAAACCAGAAACATCTTAAGCGATTTTGTCTTCTTGTGTATCTTTTGGTTGTGCACAGAGTTAACTATTTAAAATAGAAATAGATCAATTTATTAAATTCATTTTGCAGCTGAGGGAAGTCAGATTGCACATAGTAAACATTCTATGTTTTGTGCTTATGAATAGATATTTCCTTTTTATTTTAGTTTATCAACATCAAAGTGTTTAGGTTTGATAGATTGTTTTGAAATAATAAAAACAGATTGACCTGATTGATCTGATTGATAGTCAAGAAAATCATGTTTATGTTTCCTTCATTCTAGACTAATTCCATTTTGAAAAATCGAGTTGGAAACTATTCACATTTTCTTAATGGAGTAGACAAATTTAATTAATAACATTTTTATAAAAAAAAAATATTGATAAATCATTGAGAAAGGAATTTAGGTATATATGTGAGCATTCAAGAAACTCTCTCATAAATTACATTTATATTCATAAACGTTTTTTTTTTTTTTTTGCAATCTTGAATAGTTATTGCCCTTGAAAAACCACTAGTAGTTGTAGTAGTTGTTTTGGCAGTAGTTGTTTTACTGCGCAATTCACCGCTAGGTGGCAGCTTCAATCAATCCTAAATGAAATTGAGAAAGATGTTGATCATTAAATCCTACTTCCCTCCCTAATCAACAATGTTTATTGGGGGAGTTATGTTCATGTTTTCATTTTCATACACACTTTGGGTAGTCTTGTCAGTTTTTGTTTGCCATTGTTAACTACTATGATTTTGATGAATTTTATTTTGGCACGTTTTGATTGGTTTTACATGTCAATTGCTCAAATAATTCTGATTGTAACGAATTTTATTGTGGTATGTCTTTGATAATTCCTGCCAATTTTTCATGCAAAAAATTTAGCATGTCTGATTTTAAGATTTGTTTTGCTACTTATTTTGAGGTGTGTTTCTAGTTGTAATTACTAGTCGTAATTAAATAGCGTTTATCGGCAGAAGTTGATCCCTCACCTTTGATTTTCAGGGACACAATTTGATGTATAAGTATTTAGCATATGTTTTGTTGTTATTTTTCCATATTGTACATATGTTGTGTATATGAAACAGTTGATGGTCATTTTGCTAATAAATGACCATTTTCGATGCAACAAAAAAAGTTTCCTTTGCATAATGCATTTGCTGATGTAGAAAACATTCATTAATAATAGTAATATTTAATATAATAAATTCGATATAATAAATGTCACAAGACACTGATTTACGTTAAATAGTAGTATATGCAATTTTTTCTAGAATTTACATTGTTGGAGTGTAACAGACATCTTGCCATGCACGGAAAGAATTAAATAATTACGCAGGATTAGAAAAATGCCAATGGAATGATTGATTTTACAGAAACGATTTACATGGACATTCATAAAAATGCCTGCTTGAGGTTGAATAAATATAAAATTCAACGTTTTGTGGTTGAATATGGAATTTATTTTACTCGTGAGACAGAGTATCTCGTCCTTCACATTCGAGAAAGAATAAAAAAATAATCCTGTCCCACTCGTGAAATAAATTCCATATCCAACTAAAAAACATTGAATATACTTTATGTATTTACAGTCACTGACAAACCTGAAGGCAATGCTGCTACATTGTAAATGACGAAGCTTACGTTCATTTTAATACCAGTGACATATCTTGGCAGATACATGTACTAGGAATCTGTCAGTATCTTGTGGGAAACCTATACAGGGCTTTATAGTCTGCTGAAGAGTCTCTTAGACAGAAACCATTCAAGAGAATACAAGATGCTACAAATATTAGAATACTCTGTGTTAAACAACAATTATACAGAGATAGACAAGCATAGACATTGTTTTATTTCGCTTCTGCAATAATGTTTTGATGATTTTAAAAGATGTAAACCAGTTCTTTGAATTCAATAATAGTTAGAATTAGCAACTATTTATTTTATTTACGGTTAGGCACATCATAAAAACATGATTTCATATAATCCAGAACCTAATTTTGAGATTCTGTCTTCCTGCATATCTCTTAATTGACCATTCAAAAGGGAAGTACATCTAGATTTTAAAAAAAAATACTATGCAGCTGCAGGAAGTCAAAATGTACGTTGTAAACAATTTATAGTATGTGCTTATAAAAAGATATTTATTTTTTAATTTTTTTTTTTGAAGATCATTAGCATAAAAGTATTTAGATTTTATTTATTGTTTTGAGATGTTGATCTAATTAATAGTTTTGATTAATAGTCAAGGATATAAAAGTATGTCCTGTAAACAAATTTTTTATTTTTTGAAAATCGAATTAAAACCTACAGAATTGATTGTTTTTAATTGCGCAGACAAACATTTTTAAATAACCTTATTATGAATAAAAATGATAAACCATTGACAATGGTACTTCAGTTACGTATGTGAATATACATGAAAGCTTCCTTATTATACACTATATTCAGTGATATACTGAAAACCAAAAATTAGAAAATGTTTCCCTTATGAAAAGCCCTTTGCAGAATACGTTTTTTAGACGAATAGTTACGGTATTTTTATAATGCTTAAATTTTTTATATGACAAAGTTTACATACTCTTAGAATAATCCATTTAAAATTCTTTTTCTAGAAATTCAATATTTTCTATGCTTTAGCGATTCAAAGTTTGGAATTCTCAAATATATCTCATATTTTGATCGCCAATGTTACGCACCGTTACTCTGACGTTATGGGTGTCAATCCTGGTCAAGAAAAGTACTTAATGATGTACAAAATGACTCATTTGTTGTGTCTATTAAGGACACACGAGACCTTCCTCAATTACAGACAAATTTCCATAAAACTTCATGCTTTATCTATTTGCATATAAACCTGTTTATGCCCAAAAATTTGGGGCATATCACCAGGCTATTTATAGAGTTAGAATAAATTGGATTATCCTTATTATAGCATGCAAAAAAAGCTATTGAATGCTATAAATAAAGTCATAGTATATATTTTCCATTGAAACTATGTATCCAGATGGGAAAATATGATAGAAAATGAAATTTAATTTTTGAAACCCATGTTTCTAGGCTACTGAAGAAATTTTCTATAGAAAATGTTATTTTTCTCATTGTAAATGATCGAGTTATCTCTCTTTGATAAGAAACAAATGCAGTGGAATAGAATCTGTATAAACAAATGCAGTGGAATAGAATCTGTATTTACACCATGGATAATTTTTTCAAATCAGAAACATGTAGTCATTATATTCATATAACAACATCTTTCTAAACTTCTATAGAAGATCAACAGAACATCACCAACTGTGCAAGTGTATTACTCACAATATTGAGGAAGTGGTCATTTACAATTCATAAAATACTGATGTAATGACTTGATAATTTTACAATTTGATGTTACTCTGACCTTACCCATGTTTTTTTCTGACAAGATAAACTTTATGCCATTCACAGGATCTCTCTGCAGGTGAGCAATACAAAGATGGTCATAATGAAGACCAGAAGCTGCAATTTTGTTAGCTGTAAATTTGGATAAAATATTTTCATCTACAAGATGTTTCAATGAAGAAGCATTTCTACTCATTACAATTGCATAATTGTCATTTTCAATAACAAACTCAACACTGAAGCTGTCTTTCTTCATCATCCCTCTTGATATCTCAAGATGAAGCACAACTCGTTGTAGAGCTTGGGAATCTGCTAGGGCATCATGGGCATCATAATGTGCTGTACATAAATCTTTCAAAAGGTCCACTGTCGCCCGCGTGGCGCAGTGGATAGAGTGTCTGCTCTAAAGTCGCGAAGTAAGGAGTTGATCCTTACGTCGCAGGTTCGAATCCCACTGTGGGACGTGGAGACCGGTCCTTCGGATGAGACCGTATAAACCGAGGTCCCGTGTCGCAGTAGGTGCTGGCACGAAAAAGATCCTTTACTGCTCAATGGCCGTAAGTGCCGAGTATAGGACAAAATTTGCAGCTCTCCACCGGCAAGTGGTGGCGTCTCCATATGAGTGAAAAATTCTCGAGAGGGATGTTAAACAACAAACAAACAAAACAAAAGATCCACTTATTTGTAAGATCTTCTGTTGGGAACTGCTTCTCTGAATAGAGATATTGTGTCTATGAATCCAATAATGAAGTCACTGGCACTTAGTCCTACCTGATGCATTGCACGGACAATAACACTGGAATCAAATTTTGCATTGTGAGCAACTAGCACTATTTTTGAAATTTTTTCAACCATGCAACAAATGTTTTCATAGCATCCTTGGCATTCTTGAACATCAAATTCTCCTTCACAGCTATACCCGACACAGCAGTGGCAGAGGGTGAAATGGACTGAGTAGATGGAAGAACATACTGTGAAAATGATTCTTCAGAATCACACGCATCAATCTGGGTGACTTCACAATCTTTACCTAAATCATAAGGAAAAGGAATAACACATCAATATGTCACAAAGAAAAAACATACACTTTTACATTACAAATTTATTATTCAGGAAAAAATGAAGCAGTTGCATTGCATAATTATTCTAAAAATAATGCTTCAGTTCCATGCATTACTTCTGTGTCAATATATGAACACTTACCAAGACCTGTAGTTTCCATATCAAAATAAACAAATGTGCACTGGTCATGAGCAGTAGGAGTAGACTGGGGTTTTCTCAGGGGTGGTGGTATCTCTGTTATGTTTTCCATGTCTTCTTCATTGTTGTTTAGATCTACGCATGTTTTGTATGTAGTTCCCTCCCTAATCTCTGATGACTCTTGTGACTTCATGGAATCTATTTTCTTCATTGCCCTGTTTTTCTTGTAAGCTGCTGTATCTTCTCTTTCCTTGTCTCGTTTCCTTTTCAAGTTCGTTTTCTTTGCACTGGAACTAGTGACTTGTCCAGGAGAAAGAAGCAACTTCTCATTTACCCGAAAAGAAAGAGGATGTGATATCTTCATTACATTGAAATACATGTGTTTACTGTATTGTCTTGTAGATATAGTATTGTTATAATGGTGTGCAGTAATGAAGTATACAAATTACTATACTATATACCTGTATTACATATTGATGTCCTAAATTTTTCTGTGCCATAACAGCAGCTATACGAGAGTCATTACTCTCAGAGCCAGAGTAGAAGGTGGACTTTGGTGTTTTACTTGCAACTGTATTGTTGAAACTTTCATTTGCCTGAGTACTTCCTAAGTTGATCAATTTTTCAGCCTGCGATATGTAGAATCCAAAGAGAGATCAGAGATCAGATTTCACCTGCTGGTTAGAAAGGTACCTATGATAAGGAAGCTGCTGTGGCTTGTAGGTTTCAGGAGAAGAGAGAAATCCAAACCAGGTATCACATAGGCTGTGGTCTCCATAGACATGTGGTGTTATGGCCTCCAGAGTTTTCTTTAGACTGATCAAATCTTCTTGATTTTCACTGATGCAGTATTTGAAACACTTGCTGATATGATTTATGGTTTTGGTATTTAGTTCTTTGTAGTTTTTGCTCTTCTTCAGGTCATATAATTTATTTGTAAATTGTTTCATTGTATGGTTTTTGTTACTCTGCTTCTTTAGGGCTGAGTTAACCTCCAGACGTGCTTTTGCAACAGTTGTCGAATCATTGTCCATGATAATAGTACTGACATTCACGTCATTTTGACCAATGTTTTGCAACATCTGTATGCACATATCTGGTTCCATGGCTTTTGCACTTTTGGACCAGTTCTTTCGACAGTCATGGATAGGTAGAACCTTCCCAGATTTTTCAGAGTTATCACATACTCTACAATAGCTGTTGCGAGTTGCAAAATTGATGATTTTTCCTGTTTCATTTCCAGTCATTGCTGCATGTCCTGCAAAATGTTTAAAACATGTACATAATGTATAAATTAAAGTAACATCACAACTAAACTACTGTATAATTTCATCTGAAGATAAAATCTACTGTCTTACATTTTATGTATTACAAGTATGCACTAATCAGTCTATTGAAGTTGGACTATCAAACAGTGGAAGATATGTTCAATTAAAAAAAAAAATCCCTGATAATTTCACTAACATCCACTAAATAGATAAAAATCTACTACATGCCAAAAATGCTACAAAGTGTAATATATAGGATATGAGTATAATACCTACTGTAATGTTTAGAAAATAAAATAAATACCTGACAAACTTAAATAGGATTGACCTGATCCTCTTTTCTGCCACCCACCATATGATAAAGATAGCTCATTAGGTGTACTGTAAAACAACACAGTGCATATAAATTATATATGTAACCTTGTTTTTGCTTTTTATAAGTATTGCAAATATTATAATAAACTATTTGATAAAAATACCTGTTACAGTACACAAGTTAAAAAAAATGTACAATATATTTCTGTGACACAAGTAATGGTAATTCATAGCTTTCAACATTATTTTTGGTACCTTGATGATTCCTTCTCGACTGCAGCCATATCGTCACAACTCTTTTTGGCCACTTCTTCTAATGCCTTTCCTACTTCCCTCTCTGTTTTTTTCAAGGTTTTATGGCACATAGATGGAATATTAAGTACACTTAAGAGCATTGATACTTTCTTCTGGCCAATACCTGCATGAAGCATACCTACAAAATATACACAATTTTGTAGACTGTTACTTTTACAACATAATTATACATTTAAATTATTGTAATTTATTATATCTTTAGTGATTCAACTAGTAGACCATTCAAATATCATATAAAAATATGTCCCCAGAATAGAAGTGCACTTCATTGTTGTTTGTAGCACATGTACATATAAAATTTAATGATCTATACAATGCCTACCAAGAGCCAGTTTTGTGTTTGGATGCGCAAATGTGAACAAGAATGGATTCAGGAACTTTTTTTTTTTAATTTCCTTGATTTAATCACGCATTTTTAAAACGTCGCACAGAATCTAGTAGGAATGTTGTTAAATTCCTTAAAAGCATATGGCGCCATTTGAGAAATGTCATTTCTAGTACTTGATATTCACTACTGGAACAGATAGAATATATACTGGATTTATTTATACATGATTTATTTAAATAATGAGTGGAGAATTCAAAACTCCCATATTTTTAAATAATTTCAAAGTCAAACTGTAGTAATTCGTTCTATTCAGTCGAAATCCCAAGTTCCCTGTCCCCTCTACTTGTCAGCCAATTTTCTTTTTTATTTATCTCTGCTAGTCGTTCATTCATTAAAGATTGAACATTCATTACTTAAAAAATATCGTCGATGTCAAAATTGCTCCTAACCATATTGTATAGTCCATTTATTTATAGGTCAAAATTTATTCGATGTAGTTCTAATTGACCATTGACATCTAGGACATTTAAGTACAACGTGACCCCTATCTAATTAGTTGAGAATTTTATATCGAAGATCCTATATTTCTGGCGTTTTATTACCTAATTACGATTGTTTTCAAAATTATCTAATAATAAAACGATAATTATATGTTCCAAAGAAATAATTGTGTTCCTTTATCAAGAAATTTAGATACGCGATGAAATCCTTTTAATAAATTTAATTATTAGCATGTATCCAGACGCTGACTTGAGCAAAGATCGGGTATATGTATTCTTCGTAGAATTTACCAAAAATATGATATTGTTGAAGTGAATCTGAAATCTTGTCAAACGTTCGAGACGCTTTTTAGCTCGCCGATGCGTCAACTGCACTTTCTGCACAAGCAATTTGTCATATTGTTACTTTTTTTCTTATCTTTCATATTGTTACTTTTTTCTTATCTTTTATGAATTCATTCAATGAAAGCCATTTACATTTTCTTCTTATCCAGGGTCAGAGAAGTTAGCATAACAAAAATTATATGTTGACAAATTATTAATTCTAACATTTCTACTAATGTCACAATCTTATTTTTAAAGCAGATGTGTATTTGATAACTTCAAATATAAATCCATCTTGATTTTGTAGTATTTTACAAAGTAAAGTAACATATGTTTCGTTTCTGTTTTGTTTCCAAGATCTATAAAACATTTCAATTTTATATTAGAAAAGACACAATGCTATTAAGAAAACAAAATCCTAAGAGTGGGCGGGGGAGGGGCCTCACTCTAGATAAAGACTAGTCGGTGAAGTCTTACTATTATAACCTTGTGGCCATCGAAGACCAAACTATCTGTTATGACCTAGGATTGTATATGTTACAAAGTTGCAGGAACTTTGACAAGATTAAACTGAAATATCTCTGAAAAATATAAAGATTCATTCGAAAAGAACGCGTCCTTGAAACCGGTCTTTGTAGCTCGATGTTTTCCTGTTTGAAATTGCATACTCGAGAATGATGATGCCTTCGCATATCTATCCCCACTACTCAGTGTCTTTATGGACGAAAATAATATTATTATTACATCATGGTCAGTATACGCTCTCCATACATAAAATTATAGAAAAGAAATGGTTATGATTGAAAAGAAATCTGCAGTTCATCAAAAAAAAAAATATCATCTCTACTCTTAAACAGCTGATCCCGGAAGTATTTTCAGGAAAAACGTAAATGAATTATATTCAGCATCTTTATTAAACAATTCGCCAAAGACTAAAAGAATTAATAGGGGTCATGTCACAAAATATTAAAATAGGACAATCAGTATTTATTCAGGAGAACGGTGTTTTGTTGAATATTTAATGTAAATAAATCCCCGCCATTCTAATGTCAGCGATGAATACTTATGTCAAATGATTGTATTTGCAGCTGTTTAGCAAACATTCAAACGATCATAGGGCGTCTTATAATAGAAATATATAGAACCATATACCAAAGTGGAAGCATGTCACATATTACGCATGACATATGGAGATTAATTTGATTTCAAAAAATATAAACATCTATTCGTTATATTTTTTCATCGCCGATTACAATAATTTACTATAGTTTACTATATGTAACTATAGCTAGTTTTGATAAATACATTGGTACTTTGAATTACTGAGAAGGTTTCAATAAAACTTTTTTTCAGAGTTAGAGCTTTAATATCCCTTTAACTACACATCAATGAAGTAAATTTTAGAAATAATATAGTTATATACCTATGTTCTATTAATATCGAAAATGTGCATGTAAGAATTAGAGAAAATGAAATATAACAATTTGAAATCCATAGTAAAAATACTTTGACTCACTATAGTAGTAATTTTTTTTTACCATAGTAAAAACTTTGATGCTATAGTAGATTATTTTGTACTATCGTAAACTGAAGTTTACTATAATATTTTTTGTTAGGGAGGCTTGCTCATATTCCCCCTTTTCTTTGAATACTCAATTGTTTGATTTCTAGATTATTGCATTGTATGCCATGTTCTTTTATGGATACAAGCCTGAATGTAATCAAATAAATGTTTTGAAGAAAATATATATATTGATTGATATAATGACATCAAAACTTGATGATTCATATTATGTGCCTTGGTTTCATTTAGTTCATGTTATGATTAAAAAAAAAACAGTATTAGATTCATTTTCCAAAAGGGCACTAAAGGGAACTGACAATTTTCAATTGAAGCCAAATTGAATGTTTAAGATTGATAGATATGAAAATTGTGAATATAGATCAATGAGAGATTCAAGTACACGTTTTTTAATTTTCCTTCCCCTATGAAGAAAGAATTGAGTTGAAAACAGGAAATTTGATACTTTTCGATGTGATGCAAAACAGTTACTTATAATCTTTATCACTAAAATAGTTGAATTTATAATAACCAATTAATATTAATGAATTATTGATTGTATATTTAAGGTAGTACAAAATACCCATAAAACCTATTTTAACTGATTTCTTAAAAATTACATGAGAAAAAAGAATAATATCTTTATATTGACAATAATCAATGATCTTTGTAAGAAAAATAATAAGCTGAAACATGTTTTCGTCATATTTTCTTTTTTAAAAAATTGAGACATCTAATATATTGGTGACTTGG